ACATATTAAAATATGACATGGCTTCTATCCAATCGCAGGTGAAGGGAAAACTGTCCGTGTTTTCTTCATATCGTGATTTTGATTACGTCGTCAATAGCTTTTTCTTAATCGTGTATTTATACCTTTTTGTTATGAAAGTGTTATGCTGTTAAATTGACATATACATTATGTCAAATTGACATAAAATGTGGGTATGCAAGGGTGGGGTAACAATAGTTTCACCGGAGAGACAGTGAACGAGAAGGTCCCCTATAGTTTCATTGAATTTGCTCTGAAAGCTATGAGGCCAGGCGTACTGAGGTCTTCACGACAGACACCTGTTGAAGTCTGCTGCCGTCCGGCCTTACGAGGAGGCGTAAAGGGAGGCTTCACGTAAACTACATTTCCCATGATGCAAAGGGAGGACGAGGCGACGAGCGCTTAAAAATAGACCACGCGACCGGAAAAAGGTGTTTGGAAGATGCCGTGGAGTTATTATGGAACTTGAACGTAAATACGAAGATAAACAGCACCGAACAGGGAGTTGTACTGGTAAGGCGCGTAGGCGATATTTGCTCTAACGATGTGTACAGACAGGCGGCTTAAACATTTTATCAGCAGGTCGCTTCTGACCTGTCGTAATCCTGGCGCTTTAGGGCGGAGAATTATTTGAGTCCTGTTTTTGATTGTTTCGTAGTCTTGTAATATAAAGGCCACCAAGCACGGTTCTGGAGTTCACCGGGGGGGAAAAAGTACTTATTGCGGCGGAAAGTCACATGGGAAAAAAAAATTACTGCTGCCTGCGAACGAGCTCGTAAATGCAGACAACGCGTGTCGGGGGCTCGGCTCGGAGGAGCTGCGTGCCTCTTTGCTCTCGGTAGTTTCTGAGGTGTGAAACGGGGAACAGGGGCGTGTGGGCATCGGCGGGGGAGACCTTCGCTTGCACGGCTGCGGCTCGGCAAGGCGCCGCAGAGCCGACAGGGTCGGTGCCCCATGGGTGGTGCCCAACCCCGCACGACGTGTGCTCCTCCGACTCCGTGGCGGAGAGCCCACAGCTGGCGAACAGCCTCGGCAGGAGAGGTGGGTGGCCGCACTGCTGTCTGGCGTGGAGAGAGCGGGCGCAGGCTCAGCACTCAGAAATACGGAAATATGCGGTTTTAAACCCGAGATCATTCCGACGTTTGTTGTGAATAACTCAACATGTGTGCCGGTTTGGCGTTGGAGATGGGCGGGAAGGGAAAAGCAACCGGCCGGCCGCCGGGAAATGCAAAAAAAAAAAACGAACTTCCAACCCCCAAGGGCCAAGGAAGGAAGGGTGTGTAAATTGGTCTTGCCATTGAGATGTATATATATAATGGCACCTGTGTTTCACAAATCGTCCTGTGTTTTGTGAATGATCTTGTGTGGCAGATTGGAAGCCGGGGAAGTATGTTCATGTTAAACAGGTCGTCCTCGGTGAGTTGCGAGGCGTTATCATCGACTGTGATGTTTTGTTGTTTCATTGTTGACTCCCGATCCGATACTTTCTGGCCAAACACCATTTTTAAAGCACATCTCGTATCATTTCCGCAGATGACTTCATGTTCTTCCCTGAATATTGATATTAATAACCTGGATTCTCAGTGCATCTCTTCACATCGGTTTTACGGAGTAGTACGTTAGTTGTGGTCTCTGCGTTTTCTGTTAAGTAGGGACGTCATGAATGCTGACGTAAGCACTTAATTGTAGCGTTTACAAATACATTTGGGGAAGATTTATTTAGAATGGCCCGATTACCTGATGAAATGATACTAGTGATGATTGGTAACTGTCACTGTTGAAGTCGGTGTAAATAGGCTTTTGTTTAAAGTGTTTTGATCTATCTCCTCGCAGATGTAGTACTGAGCAACAGTAGAGCATTTTATTAGTTATTTTTTATGAAACTTTCCATTTTAGGAAAATTAATACTCTGTTATTTTGAGTGATTTAGACTAGTTACTACATATGCACATACATTTAACATTTCCATTAACCACCTTTTTTACAGAAAGAAAAATCTGATGCTGTTCCTTAGAACTGTGCCGGTGTGATTTTCTTTAATAACTAAAGGTGAACTTCAGTGTAAGTAGCTTTTTAAGGAAGAGTTTAAGATGCCTTTAAATGCCACTGGCCAGCAATGGTCAATCAAGGAGTTGATTCTGCTTATTTTTAAGAATTTTGAATCAAAAGTCAGTTCAAAACTAATGACCATATTCATTGAAAGTAACACTCTCTGTAGTGGTCCATATAATTTAAATGTAGTGCTTAAATAATTTGAACAGCAAATTAGTCTCTTGTGTGCACCTGATTGAACAATATGCAAACTGAGTCACTTAACGCACAGCACCATTTACTTACATACAAATTTAAACAAGTCCGGGGTGCTGTCTGAAACAAGAATTTTGTCTATGGTGTGCCTCAGCATGTTCCTTTGCTCTCCAGCGAGTTTTACTCTTGACTTTTCAGAGGTGAGAGGCGTAAAAAGTGAAAGATAGAAACACATCTTTCTCGGGTGTCAAGGTGTTCCTGACCCTGGGAGTGTATTTTTACAACATTAATAGTGTTACCAAGTGCAAACTGAAAAGGTAAAGTAGTAAGTAAAAAAAAAAATGATTCCACAGTAACTTCAGTCAATGTGGACAAGGATCTGAGGTTTGTATTTTTTTTAAAACACACCCCGGGATAGATCTGACTATGAATTGTGAATACGGTTCAACAGGATGCAGGTTTCTTTGACAGCAGTGTTGGTGCATCGACTCTTTCCTTTGCTGCTCTTGTTTGCAGGGCAAGTTCTTGTAAAAGGAGGATGCAAAGTGTGCTGAGGGAGTTCCAAGCGGCGAGCTGTCCCCGACACTAACGTTTGTCTTCTGTGTTTTGGTGCATGTGCAGTAAGCGATTGAAAACCTGCTTTTGGGTGCCTGCTCTTCAGGCTGTCCTCATGAAGATCAAAGATGGATGAACCCATGTACCTCCTCTGTAAGTGGGAAGGACGCCTGTGGCCAGCCAAGGTTAGCTCACAGAGAACTGCTTCATTACTTGTGCCATTGATGCTGAGGCAAAAGCAATTTAAGGTCAAGGAAAGGTAACTGTGGAAAATTAAATATGCATCATTGGGTTAACGGTGCATTTCTGATTTCTGCTGCTACCCGTAACCCTAAGGCTTGCAGTTTAATGCCATGATGCAGAACCCCACACAAATTGCTAATATATTGTCCTCTTGTCACAGCTGTATATGTAAACTTTTAAATTACCTCTGACTCCGATCATAGCTTGTTGTTCTTTTGCAATCTCGGTCCCCCCAGGTTCTGTGACTCGAACCCCTCCGTGGGAGTCAGTCTTATAGCACTGGAAACAACGTGTGACTAGATTTCTAAGACTAGTTTAAATATGTCAGTTCTCAGTAATTGATGTCTAGTAAAGAAATATTTATTGGTGTTTCTTTTTTGTGTTAGATTTTGAGAAAATCTGCTCGGCACTCCAGAAGGGCTGATGGGCTAGAAGTGGAAATATTGGGTGTGAAAAAAAGGTAACCTTTGTTCTCTTTCTGTCCTACATCTGTCACAAAAGCAATTGCATTACAGTTGTAACGCGTAAAAGCGTTAAATGCTTTATCTTTCATTTCCTTCATGTTATTGAAAACATCTTTCGTTTTGGCATTTAAGCCATTGATGGTAGCGGATTTGTTTTTGCATACAAAGGGATTGGTGTAAGCATATTTCTTTTCTGAATGAGTTTATTTTAATTTTTATGTAGCAAACAGAACACCCCCCTCCTCCCCACACATGACAGGTATCCCACTCTGGGTTTGTGCTCAAGTTTGAGCCCTGAAAAACATCTATGGGTGAAGGATGCAACCACATTAACAGGACCCTACTGTCCTGTCTGGGCAGCCTAAAGCTCTGTGTAGTTAGTGAAGATAGGACAGCATTTGTTGATGCCAGGGAGACATTGTAGAGACTCCAAACTTATTGTTTAGCTGCAGTGATCTCTGGCCAACAAGATCTCCCAATGCTGCAGCCAGAGGTCAATAAAAAACAATCTATTGTGTATTCTTCAAAGTGAGACTTTTTTTCCAGTTTAGCTTGATGTTCTAAATGTCACTGTATAGTGCAGTGCTGGGGTATTATCTTTTCTCTTTCTTGCTGTTTTGAGGCTTGAGGTTTCATGTAGACAGTCTAATGCAACAGTTAAATCTTTAAATAACTTCAGTCTTGTAAATTACTTACTAGCAGAATCGTCAAATATCCTTAGAAATAGTATTGTTTTTGTGTTCATACACACGTGAGATCAATGACATATTCTTTTTATGTACTGTACAATTACATTTCTGTCAACCCTTCACAATTTCTCTGACAATACTTATGTAACTGTTAACATCGTTTGTAACAGTTTGTTAATTCTGGTCTGGCAGTGACGTAGAGATCTTAAGTGCTGCAGTAATTTCTTGTGTTTGCATAACTTTGTCAAGGAACCCCAAAGACAAAAGGGCTGTAACACAGGAGGTTGACCACTTGAGCAACACATGGCAGCTATAATCTGCCATCAGTCCCATTACACAGCAGATCAGGTGAAGGGACCCTCTTTGCTAGTTCAGACCTGCATGATGCAGCTGTTTATTTTGACCAGGATCTGTGTGAAGCAGAAGGAGACGGCACCCCTGACACAAGGCAGCATTGAGACCATCTCCCTGCAGCTTGGTGAGTTTCCTGCTGACCTCCGTCAGCACATTGACATTATCATTAACATTGACGGTTATTTTGGTGAGAACTCAGTGGGACTTGAAAGACAATTTGAACAATAGTTAGCAAGGCTAGATAGGTTCAGGACACCTGTATTCATTTGCATGCAGGGAAGACAAGCAGACAATCAGTTAGTGAAATATATTTTCTGTGCACGTGAAAGAAAACCATAGTCTTAACACAAAGCTGAACCCTTTCCCTGAAAGTGGTAAAGTATTGGTGTATGTGGTCAACTTAAGCAGTTGAATCTCACACCTGGCTTTCCGAGTTCCTTCTACAGAACACTGGACATGTAAAGCAATAGCACATAACCTACTGATACACCGTATACCTTTGAGCGCTCAGTCACACTGAAATGAGCTGTTTGACCCTCATATACCTTCTTTTGGCCCAAGATATGTGAGCACCCCCTGGCACCTTGAAATCAAGAACATAATAAAGACTGCAAACAAATTGTCCATAGAAACATGTACTTCTGCATGTGCCAGATTTCATTCCTGCACGGTGTAGTTTTCCCAATACAGTTCTTTGAACGAGCGAGCCAACATTTGAATCATGATGTACTATGTAATGTGGTAAAAAGTGCAGATATTACAGTATGAAGGAAAGATGGAGTCATCCGTGAACATTTTCAATTACTGTTAAACCTTACTTATATCCGACAAATCCCTGAAATGTTTCGTTTCAGATCTGGATGCTGAAAAGCAGCGTATTATAAGGATCTTTTTGGACAAAGATGACAGCGATGAGGAGTTTGTGGGATTTCCCCATGAATGTACCCAAGCTGGTGAGTATTAAAGAGCAAACACAGTTATTTTTCTTATCTGGCTTTAATCCCTACCTACCCCAAATCATGAGGGTCAAGCATACTGATACTGTTTAATCATATTTGTATTATTGGATGATTTCCTTGTGTGTAGTTCAGCTTTGAGGAGAAGAAATATGAAATCAAGTGTTGTTTTTGTTTAGCTTCCATTGTGGAAGATAAGTGCAGAGTATAAAATGGGAATTTTCATCAGTAAACCCCACCTCTGTTCTTGTAATGGTTATGAATTACAACAGAAGAGGTTTATGCTGCGTGATTAGTCTTCCCTGACAGTATCACCGAATGTTGTTTTTGCCTGCAGTTCAGGAGACTGGGATCAAAGAAAGGGATCCTATTCAGGAGTTGCTTTACCGGAAAGCACTACGCTTGGCTTTAAATGTGTTATCCAGCAGTGACTCTCATTGCACTTTGCCCTCGAACCCCGGGAAAGCACCTGAGGGGGCCTGCCAGATCAAGCCTTTCATAACCGAAAAATCACACCAGTGTACCTTTACCCTTGGCGGAACAGTAGAACCAAAGATGAGACACAAGCCAAGGACAGCTAACCTTGAGATGAGAAAGGAACAGCCGAAACGCGTTCCTCAGGGTCAACAGGGGACACAAAACAGAAGAGCTGCAGTTCTGCCCAAGTCTGGGACAGGAGAGAAGGCACACGAGGACGGTCTCGTGAGAGGGCCAAAGACTCGGCAGTCTGGCCTCAGGGCACAGGCAGAGGCACAGAAACGCCACCTTCCACAGGCAGGAAAGAGCGGGAGCAAGAGGAAAGCTTCAGGAGGGTCGTCTCCACTGTTGACAAGGGAGAACCGCCATCTGCGGCCACGCAGGCTAATGAGCAGCTTGGATCTGAAGTGCCCAGCTGCGGTCTCTCCACTGAGCAAGCGGGACAACAAGACAATGTGCTCCACGCCAACCAAACTGAACACTGTGCAGCATTCTCAGGTGGGGAAAGGGGCTCCTAGAAATAATGTAAAGCCTTCGTTTTCTACCCCCAGCCCCAAGAAAGGACCTTGTCAAAAAACAACATTCCCAGAAACCCCGAGCCCCCGTATCCCGAAGGGGGACCACGCTGCCTTGCAGAACGGGGGTACCCCACACGTCCTCCCCTCTCCCCCAGACTCTGACCTTGACACTTATCACAGTACGGGCGGGGTGAAACAGAGGAGAGGGAGGCCTCGTTTGCGAGACTTTCCTGTGAGCTCCACGCCTGTGAGTGAGTTGGAGGAGCTGTCCCCGAGGAGCCAGACACGGACCGAGGAGAGCACGCCAAAGAGAAAGGCACCCAGGACAGCACAGAAGCTCTTTGAGAGCCTTAAGAGTCGACAGGTAATATTGCGCTGGGAGCTGGCGTTTTGGGGATCCAGTACCACTTGGTTAAGAATGTTTGATCGATATGTTTCCTTATCCACTCTCTTAAGGTATATTCCTACAGGATTCAGTCTGGCTCCAGCCTCCAAATCGCTCCTCAATCAGGCTTACAATTGATAATGGGCTATAGCAAACACTTCATCCCATACTATAAAGATTCTAACTATAAAAACATTATTTGTTGGTGTTATATGTATCTTACTAAATAATATGTGCAGAATTAACAAAAAAGACTCCATATTAGAAGTTTACCTTAAAGGGGCACTATTAAAATGGATAAAAGGAACAAACATGTGAGAAAACCTTGTCACAAGTGTTCAGTAAAGGGAAACGGGAACATAAATGAGTAAATGCAGTCTCCCTTCTTTATCTGAGCAGCACAGGAAGCTCGAATTCTGTATTCACTAGATAGTCATCTTGTGATTCTAAGCAATCTTTCCACACATATCTCCTGAAGTACAGTATTTCTGCCTTTGTTGAAATTGCATTTTTAATCCACTATACTTCAGGCTTTGAACTGTTTCTGCAGGTCATGATGGCGTAGTGGATCGTTTGCTATCAATCATTCTACTTTTTCACTGTAGGAGCACGAGGTGGTAAAGGTTCTATATAAGCTTTCAAATCAGTGTTTGAGTTGATATTTGTTGAGCAGTATTTGAACAGTTCTTCAGAAGTAGTTTCCGCCTAAGTGAACAGTAGAACGCGTGCCAACATTTAAAAACCACTGTTTAATTCAAAACAGACTATAAATATGTGCTGATCATGAATGCTACAAATGACGATCGGTTAATACAATTAATTGTTTTTTTTAAAAAAAGTGGCAATTTGCCTGCTGATTGACCTGCGACTCTGTGCTTCACAACTACAACGGCAGAGGAGCTGTAAAGGCTTGGCTGTTGTGCTGTGAGCTCCGTGTCATTTCTGAAATCACGAGCATCTTCATCTCGCCTGACCACCTCCACCAGGACCCTCGGCAGGAGCTGGTGCACTGCGGCAAAGCCAGGTGTGGGGGCCGGCCCAGGAAGGGGGCCGCGGAGGAGCCGGCCGGCCGGCAGGACGCAAGCGACTGTGGCCGCGCGGACACGGCCCCTTCCTCAAAGCGGAGACGGCGGAACCAGAGTTGTCTGGAGCTGGGCGGCACGCAGACATCCGAGCAGTCGGAGCTCCCCCTGCCTCCGTTTGAGCCGGAGGGACCAGAAACCGATGAGCCAGGTATAAATCCTGTGCCTCCCTAATTCGATTAAGCCTTTAGTATCTGTTTCAATCTAGCCTGCAGCTCTGCACTCGCAGCTGGAAGGTTGTGGGTTCAAATCCCAGGTTGGGGCACTGCTGTTGGGCCACTGATTGAAACGATTAACTGAGAATGTTCCAGTAAGGCACTGTCCATTCGTTTACTACCTGCTTCCTCCAGTTCGGCATCGCGGGAGAGCAACAGGCACAAGGCAGGACTTTTTCGGATTTCTGTATCCTGTTATCCAACAGAGCAGTGGACCTAGATGGTCTATGAATTAATCTGTTGTTTAAAAAAAAATCTAATTGATCAGCAGCGACAATAGCGATCTTTAAAAAACAATATGCTTTGTTCTCTGAAACTCAAAAAAGCACACCTTTTGTGTTTGAATCTCAGTCTTTGTGGACATGAATCTTTGTTGTTTTCAGGGGAAGAATCTGACTTGTCCATTGAGCTGAGTTTGCACAATGAACCCGATATGCAGAGTTCTCTGCTGCAGGAGGAAGATGAAGAAGAAGATGAAGAGCTTCCCAGTTTCTCTTTGACAAGGGAGAACAGTAAGTGCTAGGTTTAAAATGAAGAGCTTCCATCCTTGACCAACCCTCCTTAACGTTGGACATCCATCTGAACTGTTCCTGGGACACATAATGGATGTGAAAAACACATAATGAATATGTACAAAAGATATTCGTTATGTATTTTCAGATGGGCAGGCATCTGGGATTTTGCACTGTGTGCTGTTCTTAACAGTTTCTTTAGATTTCCCAGCTTAACCCATACTATGATATTGTACAATTTAATGTATAAAAGCAATATTAAACTGTAAAATTAATCTGAATAGATACAGGGGGTCTACGTTATAATTTGCCCTGCTAGCCGTCGTTTTTTCTGCATTGTGTTCACAGAGCCTTCATCCATCACAGAGGGAATATGTGTCTGGTGTAAATTCAGAAACTACCCTTTCTGGCCAGCAATGGTGAGTACTCCATAATTCCATGCCTGTCTTGTTTTCTTTCAATAATCGTACTTCAGATAGGCCAGAAATAACCTTGAATTGCAGGCAAACCTGAAAAAAGGAAGGGTAACAACATCTTCTTGCGCGGCTTCAGTTTGGTATATATAGTAGCAACAGAAGCACTTATTTTAATGTTTTTCTGGTGTTCAGTTTTCCTGCTTTTAAGCTTGCAGTCAGTTTGGATGAGGTAGTGGGTTTTTAACGAAATTATTTTTATGTTTCGTTAGCGAAGATTTACTGGCTATCTCTTGGGTAGACAATTGTACTCGGAAATAAACACCTATAACACTTTGAGCAAACACTTGACTGTGTGAGTAAATGTAAGGCCACTTAAAGGTAGCTTTTTTTCCCCACCGTTCATTTTAAGAGCCCGATATTGCAGAATCTATTCAAGAACCTGTTAAGAGCACTGAACCATTGAGAACAATACTTCACTCAGTTTCAGTGAAATCTAAATGGGTGCAAATGCATGTTGCTTTAAATAGAAGTGCCAGCCAAATAATCATTTTGAGTAAATTCACATTGTAAAACATGCAACATGAAGCATTTCCTTTTGTAGATTGGGCCATATATTTGTTCCCTTTATATTGATCTATCCCTCCTAACCTTGTTCTGCTCAATAGGTAAAACGTGTGAACCATAGGAATAAAAAGGCAAGCATCATCTTCATTGATGACTTGTTGTTTGACAAGAAAAGAGTTCAAAAGGGGTAAGTGGGTGAAAGTTATTTCTTAATGTGAAGTGATTTTTTTCATTGTGTGTTCAGAGTAAAACACAAATGGTTTATAACATGGGTTGCCGACAGTCATCATGCTACAGTTTTACAGCTCTAACTGCAGTTTAGAACTGCGACTTGTGGTAACTACAACACAATCAGCCATGATCCTAAGGAGGCAAACTATTAAATATTCTGATACAAAGGCCATACTTCAATAATTGAGGCTAATATTATCTAAAAACAAGGATTATCTATTCTAAAACAGAAGCAGAATGGGTTAAATGGCTATAATAGAGTTAAGGATTTTATTTGTCAACTCTAATGCCCATTTGGTCTTTCACAGATTTTGTGTGTCCTTAAGAACCTTGAAACCTTTTGACTGTGAAGAGACAGATCAGTTTGTGGTAAGAAACGGATGTCTTTCAGTGCCAAAGTCTTTTTTTTTATCATTATTTCAGTCATCGAAGCCAAGGGCCGCCAGTACGCTTTGCAATAGCTAATCCCCTGAACCAAAGGATGAAGACCCGGGAGTCCGATTCTTGACTTGAAATTGAGCATTTCATAACATCTGTTTGTGGCATGGTCAATCTGTGCTAGAATCAAACCCTTGTCTGATTTTTAGGTTAAAGCTCGGGAGAAGTATAATACAGCCATCAACTGGTGCTTGGAGCTGATTCGGGACTACCGGATTCGCAAAGGTGGGCACAACTTGGCAATGCATCATTTGGGACGTTGGGAGTTGAGTACAGAATAGTCAGTTTCTCTAGAGCTGTGCTGATATCCCTTACGATCTAGAAACATTTCGAAAGGAGAAAGGTACATGAGAAACGAAGGGCTGTAATGTTAAAAACATTCATCAGTCGATTGTTGTGGAAACGTCTTAGGAAGTCATTAAATTCAGATAACAACACTGAGACAGAGTTATTACAGCATAGTTTAAGAATGTCATCTTTTAGCACTTTGGTTTGGTTTCGTCATGCCTTGCACAGTAAGGCAGGAATGCTCTTCCATGCACGGGTCATAATGGAATTCTCCTTAACTCTTTTTTCCTTCTCCCCTATACAGCCTGCGGTTCCTTCTCTGGCTCTTTTATTGAATACTTTGCAGATGACATAAGTAAGTGTTACGCTTGTTTGCTGGCAGGAATGCTGAACGTGTCTGAATTGTGGCGTAGCAAAAGAAAACTACACTTTAAGCAGCATGTATTAAAAGAAACATCATCTGGATTTTTTTTTCATGCATATTTTTTCTTTTGTTGTTATATATTTTTAGTTTAGTTTTTTTACAATAGTTGACTATCAGCCTTTATAACCTCTAAAAACAATCTTCAATACTGATTGAGGGACAATGGCTTGTTTACCAGTTCTACAGCAGTATTCTACATGAGTTGATTAAAAGACGTGGTATACTTGTATGCTGTTTGAGAAGCCCTTCCAGCTAGTCATTGCTTTAAACAATAATGGGCACATCGGGACTTGCAGGAAGAGCTGAACTAATAGGTATGTGGAACTGATGTTATTTATTTGTCTCATGGCTCATTCAATGGAGGAATAGTTTGTTGATTTGCTCTGTAAAAGTATATTGGCAGCCAACAAGCAATTGCATCAAATAGAATTAATGACCTCTTTTTTTAAAAAAAAGCACAAAACCAATTTGGCTTGCTAGCTTAGAGAACTATGCCTGCTTAGCTTTAAACAGAGAGCTGTAATTCACCAACTGGCTTTATGATGTTCATTGTGATGTATTTGCCCTAGGCTGCCCAGTCAGGAAGATGTACCTGCAGGACTCCTCCAATGTGTCCTTTCCCAGCACGCTGATAATGGAGGAGCAGAAGGAAGGATCGGATGTACATCTGGACAGCACACCATCCCGCTGCAGGCAGTCCAAGAAGCTGCTGCCTGACCGCTCCAAGGCTCTCCGGAACCGAGCGAACGAGAAACTGGTCCAGTTTATTGTCAAGAATCAGGGATTGGAGAAGCACCTGCAGGTCAGACAAAGCAGGGGAATTCTTGGACATCCGAGAACACATTTCCGTCTCCTGTCTTTCAACACAGCTTTGGCAGCTGCGCTGTGTTAGAGCAACAGATAGAGATGAATAGTGCTGGCCTGCTCAGTTATAAACTGCAAGTTTAATACAGGAGATTTATGCTTTTCATAATTATTTAAGGAATGGTTTAAATACTGGTGAAGAAAAATAACTTTCATTAAAGAAACTGAATTTGTGGCATTATCTTTTGAAATTATGTAAATGCAGTGCAATTAAAGACAAAATATTTACATAAAATAGATAAACAGATCTTTAGCCTTATCCAGTACCAAGGGTAATTATGCAGTGTTTTCTAATTAGCACCTTAATTCCACAACACTCAGTCTTTCTAAACTAAACTAATGGTGCTAGTGTGTGCAAAATAAGGAAACCTTTTTTGTGGGGAGCAGATTAAAGCACATTCTGGTTGTGATGGGTAGGCATATGTAAACAGTTTGTTCCCAAGTATAAGTCTGGACTGTTTCTTTTCAGGGAAAAGTCTTTGTAGAATAATTTTTTGAATTTGTTGTCTTTTTGTACCCGTCTCCTTCAGTATAAACATTTCTGTACTTGGCTTCAATTTTAGTATTCAGTATTAGTCTCTCTGCTTAGAAACCACCTTTATTGTATATGAAAACTATTAATTGCTTCACCCTGATCCCATTTAAAAGCTGTGAATAATTGGGTTATAGTTTTGCTTTGGAATAATTATCCTCAGAGAACTAGCTATTTGTATTCCAAGCCCATGTAGCATTTAAGCCCCGAAGCTCTTGCTGTTGAAGTTCTTGCCTGGTCAGCAGGCCCTGAGGAGAAGAGTCCTGCTCATTTCCTGGCCTCTCCCTCAGGCGATCATCAGTGGCAGAGAGAACTCCAAGTGGATGAAGGAGTTCCTCAAGTTCAGCCGCTTCATGTCCTGGGTGGACACCTACCTGGAGGACGAGGCCCAGGTGGACCTGGTGTACAGCTACCTGAAGTCCATCTACGAGAATGCACCTGAGACCGCGCCCTTCCTGACTGAGGTGGACACCATCCGCTTCATCCTGGACGTGCTGCTGCCCGAGGTGAGGAGGCCATTGCTGGGCTCTTTAATTTCGTTAGGTAGATTATTAACATAAAGGCATATGCTCTTCATGGAGCTCGACTATTCCACTTCATGGTCTCCGGGACACTTGGCGAGTCAGCAGGATGTCAAAATTACCCTTGATCTTTTACATCTGAACCTCGGATAGTTCAAGTATCCAGTCCCGAAAGCCAGAGTTTTTTTCTCGTTTAATTTGTTTATGCACAAATAATGAATGTCCATTTTTCTTAGCTCAAAACAACTGTCAGTCACATTATATTCAGTATGAATGTATATGGAGTCAGCTGTATAATTTTACTGTTCTCTTCATTGCTAACCAAAATCATGAAATCAAAGCCTTCAACTGGGTACGCCTATGGTGTGCAAGGGTTCATATCGTTGTTGGGAGTTTACAGTAATGACGTATGCATTGCTGCTAGCAGTGTTTTGCCACAGTGTGGTGCTGCTCAGTAAGTGACTAAGAAGTGAAAGTGTCACAGCAGCAATCGGAGCAGCACCCGTGGCAGGAAGTCTGCGCCTGCTGAGCAGAGGAGAACGCTGGTCCAGTGCCCTGAGTCCAAGTGGTCATGTTGTAACGCTGCTGTCTTATTTTCAGGCCATCATCTACGCCATTGCTGCTGTAGACAAGATCTCCCTGGACAAAGCAGAGGTTAAATTCTTGAAGGGGCCCGACTTGAGTATAAGGTAATGAATAGTCTGTGGGTTTCAAAAGCTGTGCCTTTCCTTCGCATTTGCAGGAATCCCACATTATTAATAATGTGAAACAAGATAGTTAGGAAAACAGATCTAAGTTGCACATGCATTATACCCTGTGCTCTATGCTATTGTGGTAACACCTGTATGATGTTACTGTAAATTTTATTCAAAAATCTGATGTGGAAAGTGTCAAGACCCAAATCCTGTCATTAGTAACAAGCATTACCAAAAACAGCACCTATGGAGCAGAGAGGAGGTAGATTTAGAGCAATAAACATTAGATGAGCAGAGTCGCTAACAGAGACCGTGTAAGTCACTAATGTTGCTTTGAATGTTAACTTTTTCATGTTTTACTTTTGCTAGTATTCATTTCTTCTAACAGGGTGTTGTTTACTGAGACGTTTAGCTTTACATTTAAGACAGACTGCAAGCTCCTTCAGGCCGCTGGTAGATCCAAACAATATTCTAAACTTTAGGAGTAGTAGCTCCAAATTGCTGTGCTACAACATATAAAGGTGCCTTGTTCCATGAGCTCTGATGCTCTTGTACAACACCTTAGACCTTTAACCTCATCAAAGGATGATGAAAAGATACTCTATGCAGCATGATGTAGGAGCACTGTGATGGGATGATAGGGGTATGGTTTGGAGGAGGTTTTGTATTGAATTTGTGTTCCTGCTCTTGTGATTGACCGAAAGCCTTTGTTGCTTTCAGAGAAAGAGAAGAGTTCGACATGCAAATCGAAAAGGAGATGATGATGAAAGCACTATCCCTAAATGCCCAGGAACCTAAACCTCTTTGACACCTGCTGTCTGAATGACTCGGCGTTCTACAACACCTCCGGCCCTGGTGACGGAGCCATTGGGCCATTCCAGCAGAAAGCCTTGAGGATATTGCTACCCCAGACTTCACCTGCAAGTTTTATTGAACAGTGGCCGTCAAAGCTACAGCTCCAGGTTGCTAGGTGTCAAGTCAAAGGTCAAAAACTAAAATTTAAACCTATGAATGTTTTAATCCTAGCACTTAAATGTAGAATCCAATAAAATCACAGGTCACAGAACATTTTTTACTGTGCAAATGGAGTATTTGAAGAGAACATGGGATGCTGTCAAGAGCACCTTAGAAGACCATGAAAGGAGGATGACCGAGTTGGTGCCGTTTTCTTTGCCCACGAACAGAGCCTGACAATTCTGAGCATTTGTTTAATTGGGAGGTGGTCCACATTCCCCTCCAGGTGATCCAGGTGGTGACTGCCTTGGGTGCTTGACCAGTCCTGAATGAACTTATGGAAGGAGTCTTTGAACCCTTTGGACAGTACTGGAGTTTGCTTAAATGTTGTTTTTTTTTAAATGTTTTTTGTATAAAGAGGACAGAGAGAGGAACATTATTTGGCTGTAGTTTTCCAATACTCAAGGAACACAATGCAACAGCATTCCATAATGTAGATAGCCCTACTTTTAATGCTAAGCTGAGATCCGTTAACCTTTGTTGATTTGTGCTTGGCACCTAGTGCTGACTGATGTTCTTAGATTATCAAACGATATGAAATAATGACATTAATCATGTAAGTGCTGAAATGTGGAATTATTTCAGAGGGGTATTTGGATGTGTCTTTTCACCCGTTTTATAGTGGCCAACTGAGTCTTCTTTGGAAAAGTTAGTTTAAATCTGATTTCACTGGCCTTAAAGATAATATGGAGCTAATCAACTTGAATTTAAAAATCGGTATCAATCAGTATTTATTTTGTATTCCCTTAGTAGTGCGCAGTTTGCATTTGCACAATAGTGTTTGGAGATTTTTTTTAAAAGTCTGTATTCAGTTGATTTTCATTTTAAAGAAAATTGCAAGATAAGAAGTTGGCATTATTTTAAACGGTGTTGAAACATGATTACGGCATTTGTTTTAAACGCTTAAAATGTTTCCTGTATGGTAATTCTTTGATTTCCTCAGAAAACATCTGAAGTTGAATGCCCTCAGGAGAAGAAGGTAAATGAATCATAGTTTTTTCTTCCCCCATAGGAAGGCAAGCCACTACAATGATACTGTCAGTTTTCATGAGGATTAATTGCCCAATTGGACCACCCATCAGAATGCTTTGCTTGTACAGTTTGATATCAAAATGCAGCCTTCAAATTTTGGTCGGCTAGGCAGACCTGCATTCATCTTTATCCAACCTGTAATTCCCCTGAATATCATTGATAAACCATGGCCGATATGTACAGTGTACCATTCTAGATTTAAGCCTACAAACCTGCGCGCCATGTATGAATTGGTCATCTCTGTTGGTGTCCATTTTAAAGCCTTCAGGTAATTCTGGCACTTTATGGTATGAAATCAGTTGGATGGATGGAATTATGGTTTGATACTAGTAGCCTATTCAAGTAGTTTACCACCATGTACCACTCATCCATATTTTGTAATCAGCAAAGCTTTTGCTTAAATCTTTGTCAGCAAAGACTGTTTGACTGTTTGTCAGACAGTTCATAGTCGGCAACACTTCCCTGAGTTGAGTAGGGTTTGCCTGTCTTACTAACATTCAGCAGCAAGCTAGTGTTGGTGTTTTGCCTGTGCCTGTCAGAATTAATTCATATAGCCTTCTAGTGATATAGAGGCCAATGCACTGGCACCAAACTACGGTGCCAAAAGTCTGCATTCTTCCAGCTTCCTGCAGTGGGGTTTTCCTGTTAGATTATCATGTCTTAATTATGTAGTCTGATTTCTGTTCCCAGGTAATGTTGCATTGTTGATGTGACTTTTACTTTTTCCCCAGTCATGCCTGCCTTGAAACTTGTACTTTATTGTAAATTGCTTCCAAACCTTAAATGTAGCCAAATGTGTGGCAAAAAACTGAATGTGTAAGTGACAATCAGGAACTGCTGTTAATGTAATCCTTTGTACATAAGAACAGCTTTTTATGAAATATAAAATTGTTTATGCACAGTCTTTAGAAGTTATTTGATTATAGTTTTAATATGTATTTTTTTTTTACATGGTTTTAAACAGTGACACTCGATACGTCCAACTGAATGTAGCAAGAAGCATTCAGCTTGGGCAATCCTTTTGCGTAAATTTGTTTTTTTAACTTCATTCTTTCAACGTTTGGGGCTACAGTGTTGTGGATCAGCATCACAGCTTGAGAACACAGAAGCCCTCTCAGGTTGTGTAGTCTGCAACTTGAACTGCACAAATTAGTGGGGTTGATAAGTGCAGTGAGAGCGTTTGTGGTTGTCTATAGGGAAAGTAAAATAGGGAGGTGTGGGGAATGGTAGCAGGTCAAGCTGCTGATTAAGCCATTGGTATTGCTGGGTGGCACATTGCAGTGATCAGGGTGTCGCTGGTATGAATCCGCCTTTGTCGCAGGAAACTATTTTAGTTTGCTTCTCCCTGCAAAACCAGGGTCCTCGCGTTTCCAGTTTCAACTGCTGTGCTTCTGTTAATGGGAGGCCGAACAGAGCCGCCACGCAAACGTAAGACGTACTGATTATCATTTTCTCCTCTCAACTGACCATTCAATGTTGGTTTTAAAGGTATTACAAAGATCTTTATGCTGTTGCTGTTATTAAATCACCATTTAAGTGACTTGGGGACTTTGTCTGCTGGAATAGATTTTGAGCAGTGGAGGTAGGATTGTAAGTACCTGGGGATTTAGCTTTCATGGATGAAACACTCACAGCAGTCATGGATTACTGCAGTCAGACATTGTCCGTAGGCCCTGGGATTCTGGATTAGCCGATTATCTGTGCTTTGTGCAGGTCATACTATGCATATTTTTACTACTTTTTAATAAAGGAATTGTACTTTTTTTTATGTGTACCTCCAGTTAAAACGCACTCTTGTAAATGATTTTTGATTTGAATGTTGCATTCAGGACAGGTAAATCTGATTTCAGCTGTAGCATTTCATATTGCAAAAGAATCGACTGTTGTCTGCTCACACATCTCTATATTAAATAATTTGGTCCTGCGGTTTTGTCTGTGGAGTTTTTTTCACGCGAAGGGTGTTCCAAGTGAGTTTCTCTTCAAATCAGTATAAAACAATAGAAAAGCTGGAACTATTGTTTTTTTTGTAACTCCATGAGTCATTCTCCTTTTGTCCCTTTTTGAGCAACAATTATTTACAAGTTTAGTGGGTAGTGTTTTTTTCCCCCCGCAGTGCAGGGCAGTGGTCAGTATTGCTTCCTCTCACAGCTGGAGCCCTGGGTTCAATGCCCTCCAGGTTGTCCAGTTTCCTCCCGCAGTCCTGGTACGGGTAGGTTAATTGGCCTGGTGTGCGCGTGTGTGTGCGCGTGTGTGTGCGCGTGTGTGCGTGCGTGTGTGCGTGCGTGCGTGCAGTGGAATGGACTGGCATCCTGTCCAGGGTGTACCCTGCCTTGCCTGCAATCCTAGTTTTGGATGAGGTGGTTAGACAGAGGAGTTTCTTTTGCAATATGTACATGTGCATTGGGCTTCATGTACATAAGTCTAATAAACGCCATGTTCAGGTTGGGAGCTGCGTCAGCATGTGTAGGCTGCAAATGAATAAGTAATAGGTTTATTCCATGCTGAAAAAACACTAAATAAAATGAATAACTAGATGAATGGGCAAAAAAAAAGTGTTAAAGCATGGCCATCAGGTACTGCCTGAGACTGCTAAAACAGAACAGGCAGTATAGAAATTATGGGCTCTGGTCAGGTAACGGAGTACTCTTAGCAACAGTGCTCCAAATAAATGAATAAAAGTGAAATAAGTATAACTGAGTAATCCCATTGATTTCTCTTTGCCGCGATTATGCTAACAATCTTTGGTCATAAATAGTAAGTATGGGCATAGGCTCTCCGATTTAGGAGCTTAATTCGCACCACGATTTGTTAAAAAGATGCGGCATCATTGCCTCAGCGAGTCGCTTGGGTGCCATTTCCATACCGTGTCAATCAAGAACATTGTTGATAAACTCGGAAAGTATGTTAAGGCACTTTTGTAAATGTTCGGCACTGCAAACTTTTCTCTCTCCATTTTCGTCTTCGTGCGAGTTGCCACAGTGCTCCGTGATCACTGCAGTGTGGGTCGCAAACAGGGTTATTGTAAGGGGACCACGTTTCCACCTAAAAATGTTGCGGAGATGAAAATTCTGTATTTGTCATTGTGCTTTACAGCAGCTTAAAATATACGCAATGTGGTTTGCATACTTGTCCGGTTCTGTTCATAACCTGACTTTTCTATACTTTGAGCAATTACGGTGAAATTAAGGCAGGAGGAAATTCAAAGCAATTTCCTCATTTGGCGGAAGAGTTATGATTTACACGTTTTAAAAAAAGATATAGAAGATATATCGAATATTCTGGTTAAACTGCAAAAGTTGCGATAAACGGTAATCGTTTCCGGTTTATTTTGCTGGAAAATAAAAGATTTGCCGAAACCCGGGATCGAACCAGGGACCTTTAGATCTTCAGTCTAACGCTCTCCCAACTGAGCTATTTCGGCCCGTTGGTAGAGCTGTAATACGGTACGCCTTGTTTAAGGATTGTATGTGATGTTTGTGGTTGCAAATACAGTTTTAATGCGAAAAACTGTCCCACATCCTCCTAAATGTTCTTGCGCATTCTCTCTCAAAAGTCCCTCTGCGCGTATTCTTACAGAATTAATCCTCTGCTCGTGTGTGGTTTTAAAACCCCCCTGCAGTGTCGAGATGAAGGCAGAAGCAGTTGCACAGTAGTGCCGGATCAGCGAAATTCACTTTCCCGTTGTAGCTGATTAAACAGATCGTGCTAATCATTTACACACAGATATACAAAAAAAAAACAGAAGTAACGCGGATTTCGGTCTCTCTTTTACTGCTGCTTTCAGAGGCTCAGTCGTGCCAGTCTCTGTGGCGCAATCGGTTAGCGCGTTCGGCTGTTAACCGAAAGGTTGGTGGTTCGAGCCCACCCAGGGACGGGTCGTGTTTTAGCTTTTTAATTCTTTTTTATTTTAATGGTTATGTTAGGTACTGTAGCACAATCTGTACGTAGACGTAAATCTACAGATTTATGTTCTGATCCTTCTAAAATTTAATGTTAAAAGTGAATGAGTTGCGCTGCAGTCCTCTTGTGGCCAAATTGAAGAACTGCAGCTACCTCGGAGGGGAAAAAAAAAGTTTAATTGGCTAGCAAGCCGCCAATATTTTGGTTATTTTATCTTAAAGAGTGTTGCCGGTGTGAGGGAAGTTTAAAACTCACAGAAAGCAAAGCATAGCGATAAAAAAATAACATTTCCACGCCCTGTTATTTAAATTGTATCAGATGCAAAATCTCAGGCGGAAACCATTTACTCGTACATTAAAAACGGACTCGGGATGTGGACAATCACATCTCTCCAGACTGTTATCTTTGGCCGCGGGAGACTGAAATGCCTTAGGCCCAGACTAGTTGCTCTATGAAGAGAGGGAAACATGTCCCAGTTCAAGACCTGTAACTCAACATAAACCAGTGAAGCATCTGTAAATAATTTATGCAGTGAGGGTCATTCAATGTGTTAGTAAAGGTTAGCAATTCGGATACAAGTCACGACCTCTGTTAGCCCATCATGCTGCCCTGGTATTTCTCTTCTGAAGAATGTGAAGTCATACCCCATTTCCTATTTAAACTCAATTAACTAAATGCTTTGACATTAGACTGCAGCCAAAATGTTTCTTCCTTAACTTCTAGGACAGGCTCGGAGGACCCCAAGTGTCCTCGCACTTCTGGTTACAACTCCCTGCTGAAAATGTACACATTTTTCTTAACTGTGACTTGAAAGGAATCCCTGAAATAAGAACCTATAGCTGTCATGTGGTTTCAGGACATATTAAAAGATTGAACCAGTTAACTCCAACCATCATTGCCCCAAATAATAACCTCTAGTCTTACACATCTTAAAATACTATATAAAATTCAGTACAGCTTGTGCAGAATTAAGAGTAGCTCCTGGGGACCCTTTTATTTGTGCAAGAAAATCTGCCATCATTCTACATGAACCTCAGTTAAATAGTCCTTCATACAAATGGATTCAGGTACCAAAACATAAACAGAAATAAACACATCTGAAACTGTAAAATGACATGGCAATTTTAATCAAAACCAGTGGAATAATAAGTTTAATTCACATGGATGAAGGGTTAAATTTTATAAGGCAGAAAATGAAAAATAAAAAATACCCAAAATATTTTTTAGATGTCATGATTAAGCTGACATCTCCCCCTATTTCTACATGCTCATTTACCTTCATTTCAGTAAACAGCTACACAGTAGCCACACAAAGTTGTCGGACACCGGTCAGCTTCAAATTTCCCTTCTAATATAGTAGTAGTAGAGTAGTTTACTTTCCTACTATAAGCAAGCTACTAAAAAACAATATATCTACAATCACTGGTAAATCTGTTTACAAAATTCATGTAAATGAGAAAGAACTTGGATCTAATCAAGATTTGCTAGTGATTTCTAAATACATGTAATTTATAACA